GCACTCAAATCCTGATTCCTCACCCGGATTCTGGTTCTTCACCCAGATCTTTGACCAGATGTTGGTTCCTGACCCAAATCCCCACACAGATCCTTGTTCTTCGCCCAGATCCTGACCCAGATCCTGACTCCTGATCCCATCCTGCACCTGGACTCCCATCCCTGACACAGACCTGCACCCAGGCCCTGGTTCCTCACCCAAATCCTGACCCAGGCCCTGTTTCCTGACCTACACCTCCCATACAAACCCCAGCTCCTCGCCCAGACTCAGATTCCTGACCCAGATCCACGCTCATTCCCCAGTTCCTCACCCACACCCTCATTCCTGACTCCATCCTGCACCCAGACCATAGAATCATAGAATGGCCTGGGTTGAAAAGGACCACAGCGATCATCTAGTTTCAAGATGTTTCCAGTCTTTTTTCTAGTTTCAGATCCTCATTCCTCACCTGGATTCTGGTTCCTCACTCAGACCCTCATCCACATCCCAGTTCCTCACCTGGATCCTCACCCAGACCTTGGTTCCTCCCCCACATCCATGCCCACACCCTCACCCAGATCCTCGTTCAGACCCCGATTCCCCACCCTGACCCCAATCCTTGACCCCCACCCACCCTTACACCCCATCCACTGACATCCCCTGCCCTACAGACCAAGTGGAGGGCTGCAGCGAAGGCAGCGGGGGGACCGGTGGGACGGAACATGCTGGAGGACCTCAGCCTCCTCACCCTCGACACCCTCCAGAAGTGCATTTTCAGCCACGACAGCCGCTGCCAGGAGTGAGTGTGGCCCCGTCCCCATGCCAGGGTCCCTCTGGTCCTCATCAGGTCCCCCCAGCTCTGGCTTGGCATCCATCAGGGACCACCCTTACCCTGGCATTGCCCCCAGATAGGTGCCACCACCACTGAATGCCAACATTACACTGCAATGGGGATGGGGTCAGGGTTTGGGTTCTTAGGGTTAGGGTGATTGCACTGCGTTGTGTTATGTTCCATTGTATTGCAACTGGGGTAGGGTTAGGATCACATGGCATGGGATTCCCTTCCCTTCCCTTCCCTTCCCTTCCCTTCCCTTCCCTTCCCTTCCCTTCCCTTCCCTTCTCCTCCCTTCCCTTCCCCTCCCTTCCCTTTCCCTTTCCCCTTCCCTTTCCCCTTCCCCTTCCCCTTCCCCTTCCCTTCCCCTTTGGGATGAAGTTAGGCTTAGGGTTAAGATTAGGGTTAGTCTAGGGTTAAGGTTAAGGTTAGGATAAGGGTTTGAGTTAGGGTTATCCCAAAACACGATCCCCCATTTCCCCACCTCCATCCCAATCCCCCACCGGGGTCCCCTTTGTGCTCTGCCCCCCTCACCTCATCGCTGTCCCCTCAAGCATCACCCCAGCTCGGCCCCGTTGCCACCCCACATCCCCACCACGGCCCCGTTGGTGACACGATGATCCCACGGGGATCCACGCTGTCACGCAGGCGGCGGAGTGAGTACATCGCAGCCATCCTGGAGCTCAGCACCCTGGTGGTGCAGAGGCAGCAGCGCCTGCTCCATTACGCCTCGTGGCTCTACCGGCTCTCAGCCGACGGACGGCGCTTCGCCCGCGCCTGCGCCACGGTGCACAGCTTCACTGCCAACGTGGTGCAGCGCCGGCGCCAGGAACTCAACGGCCTCGGCCATCAGGCATGGCTGAAAAGCAAGCAGGGACGGAGCGCGGACTTCATCGACCTCCTGCTGCTCACCGAGGTGGGGGAAGGGGATGGAGGTTGGGGATGGTGGGGTTGTGGGGGTGATTGGTTGTAGGGTAGTGGCCACAGGGAGCAAGAGGAGGGTTGGGACTATGGAGGTGATTGGCCATAGGGTTGGGGCTATGGGGAGTATTGGCCATGGGGAGGTCACAGTGGCCGTGGAGAGGGTGGCCATAAGGGAATGGATGTTGGCAAGGAAGTGGTGATGGCCAAGAGAACAGCAGTGGTTGTGGGGATGGCTGGCTGTAAGGTGGTGGCCACTAAAGGTCG